GGCACCCGCAGTCACCGCTCCCGACAACGCTGAGCCTGCTGGTAAATAAGGGCTGCAACCTATGTTTAAAATAAGAGCTGCTGTGAACACTGATTTCCAGCCTGGAGTGTTTTGGGTTCCCTGTGGCATTCCTCCACCAGCCCCTGCTGGCAGTTGGTGTGAGTGTGGTTGTGGCAGCGTGGTGCAGCTCTGTGGGAGTTAACACATCCCTGATGCTTCAGCTCCCTCTCCTCTGACCCTCAGCCTCTTCCAGCAAGAGCCTCGGGTCTTTCACCCTCACACTTCGCCTCCTGGAGCCAACAGCTCATATGGAGCAGTCTGGCAGTGCTGCTGCTCCTCAGCTTGCAGCCTGGTCGCCGGTGTCTCACCTCTAGGCTGGGGAGATCCTTGTCCTTGCAGCCCCTCCATCCCCAGTCTGTGTCCCGGCCGTCAGGCTATGGCCAGATCCCTCTTTCTGTCCCTGAAGTGTTCTGTTCCCCAGCTGCTCTGAAATGGGAGGCAGGGGAAACAAAGGTCTGCACCCTCGTGAGAATCCAGTCTCCCACGGAAGCTCCTGGCCCAGGCTGGGGATGTCTGGCCCGGCCCCAGCTTCTGTCTCTGATGGGATTTGTGCTTGCAAATGGCTCAGCCAGCCACACCATCATCCCCCAGCCATGAGGTGACCGTGTCCCACTCAGTCAAGGAGCTGTCACCTTCGCTGGCAGCAGGTACCTTCACTGTCAACTGTGCCAGTTTATTTCCCAGCGTGAATCTTAGGGCCTGCATCTGGTCCTGCTGCTTTGCTTCCTTCTGAAGGCTGGAGTGTCACTGTCGAGGCAGGATGGGAATGAGAAGACTCTGACTCTAAGGCTGCTGAGAGTAAAACTCCGGTTTATTTAAAATACACCACTCTTTTATACAGAGCTTCGTGAGGAACAATTCCATTGGTCCTGAAGTGAAAACAGCCCACACCATTGGTGTAAAGTGCTTGACACACAGTGATAGAACTTAACTATAAACAATGTGAAAAACAAGAGAGATAAAGAATTATTTACATTCTTCTCCAACTCTTTCCCAGGCTTTTTGCCTGGCTAGAAACTCTCTGTTTCTCTCTTTGACTGAATCTGAGACCCACACTGGAGGGCTCTTTACTTGCCCAGAATTTCACGTCCTAGAGGTGCAGCTAGACACCCAACTTGAGCAAAGGCAATGCAAGCAGCTGGGGAAAGCTACCCCTTGTGGTTCCCTGGGCACTGGGAGGGTCAGCAGGAGGAGGGGGACAGGCATGGCCCCCCAACCAGCCCGGGCTGGGGGGGCAGTGGGGCTGGGAAGAGGCTGAGATCTCTTGGTGGCTCCTGCTGTCATTTAGCATCAAGCACAGCTAAGAAATATTTGAGCATGGCTGCCTGCATCAGAGACCAGCAAACAGGGGATTTACTGGGGTAGAGTCAGAGTGGGCTCTCAGGCCCTGCTAATGCTCTTCTTCTCCAATCTGGTTGTTGCACAAGATGCCTGCTTTGCCTTGCAGCAGCCCCCAGCTGCTTCGCAGCCCTGAGGTGTGACATTCATTCATCAGTGTCCTCTAAGGAAAGGAGCTTTCTAATTAATTTTTATAGATGTATCTTTCTTGTTTACACTGATTAATATTAAAAATGCTAATATGTATTTTTTAATGCTAACCACTGGCAAGGAGACCACGCTATCACCCTTGATTAATGCCAGCTTTCATGGTGTTAACACAGTGCCTTCTCACTTCCCAAACCCCTTTTAAAAATGAAAATGCACTGTAAAGCCTGCAGTGAGGGGTCCAGGCTGCCTGGGGCTGGGGCAGATATCCTGGCCAAGGCTGTGTGCCTGTCTTCTTGCCTGCTGGGTGCCACCACAGGGGACAGGGCAGCATGCCCAGCCTGTGCAGTGCGTGCTGATGTCTCCTATTAAACCCTGCTTCCCTGCAGTTTCAAGGCATGCATTTGTTTCAGGCTTGTAGAGGTTTCCATTTGTATTTCCCCATTTCTGTTGCTACCCTCTGGAGGCCAAGGCCAGCAACCAAAGGCATCATAACAATAAAGCTCAACTGCAAGTTATTTGCTTGGCATCGTTGCATCTGCCAAACAGCAATATTAATTTTGTCTCTCAATGAAGGAAATATTCTTCTGATTAGCCACGGGGGCAGCATTTGTTCTAGAAATCAGCCTTTAATAGGCCTTTATATCATGCTGAAATTCATATTGCTTGAATTTCATTGGCACGCTTGAGGTCTCCCCCTCCCGGGCTGGGCACGGGGATGGCACGGGATGAACACAGACTTGTGTCCTGTTGGAAAGGCAAATGCCATGGTTTGGACTGGAAGTGCTGTGGGGAAAGGGGATGGGAGGGCAGTGGGGAGGGACAGTGTCACCCCAAGGTGCCATCCCTGTGAGGGTCCTGTGGGGACAGCCAGCCAGGGATGCACTGCCCTGCTGCTCCCCTGGGACCTGCGGTGGGGACAGAACAGGCTCCCCAGGCTGGGAAGCTTCCCAGGGAGGAGATCCCAGCCCCAAAGGGGTTGGAGAACACACTGTGCAAGAACACACTGCTGCCCACCAGCCAGGCCCGTGCTGCGGCCCCTGTGGCTGGCAGGGATAGGGGTGGCAGTGATTTATGGTCCCACAGCAGGGATTCCTCACTCCCCTGTGCTTCATATTCTTTGGAGATGATGGTGCTTTTAAAAAAAAAAGCTCTCTCCCATCCACTGCAGGACAGAACCAGGGTAGAAGTTTCCTGGTGCTGCCCTGGCAGTGCCTAACACAGTCAAGCTGTGAGTATTTAATGTGGGCATTAAATACTGAGCCTGCCCTGAGGAGCTTGTGGGGACATCCCCCCGTGCCAGCTGCAGCCCAGCACTGCTGCCCACGTCCTGTGCTGCTCTCACACGAGCCCTGACTGGATCTGCACTGAGCCCTGGCTTCACTGCTGGCTCTGGGGGCCTGGCAGCTCCCTGCCCACCAGCAGTGCCATGCATTTTCCCTCTCTCTCAACACTTCTCTGAAGCACAGGAATGTGGCACCAGGCTCTGAGCTCTGTTTTTCTGCCAGGGACCCTACAGAGCACAGCAGTGCCTGTGGCAGCCCAGGAGTGGGCACAGGTGGGAGACGCTTCCATCCACTGCCTGCTCTGGGGGAGGCAAATGCCCTGGGCTATGCTGAGGGAGCAGATGGCATTGAATTCCTAAGAGTGCTTTTTTAAAGTTGTGTTTTTTCCCCCCATCAATTGCTCAGAAATTGTCTTGAAAAAGTGGGTTAGAACGGAACAAAGAACAGGGATTTTACTGTTTTGGCTGCAGGGACTCTGTGTGCTAATAAATTGTCAAAAGGACCTGTGTCCCCATAAGAATCCTGCTGTAAGAGATTTTGTGACTGCCACTCATCCCTTCCACTGCCACCTCTGGCTGAGGGGACGGGGCCTGTCCCTCCTCACCCATCTCAGGAGCAGCCCCAGCCAGGAAAAGTGAGAGGATGTCACCAGGCTGTACCTCCTGTCCTCTCCCACATCCTTGGGGATGGGAGCTGCTGGAGAGGGTGGCACAGGGTGCTCCAGGGCTGCATTAACCTGCTTCGTGCCCAGCCAGCCTGGATGCCCCCTGCGCTGCCAGGGAGCAGAGGCAGTGATCTGGGTGGGCTCAGGGAGGGTTTGGTGCCAGTGCACGGCCTGGAAGCCTTGGTGGCACATGGGGCTGCTCCCAAGGAACCCTTGGAACTGCAGGCAGGTAGGGCCTTGCTTTTATCCTGCAGTTGGAACGTTTCAGCTTTGCTCAGTGGGAACGTTTCGGTGATATGGAGGCATTTTCCTCAGCTGTTTCTGAAAAACTGCCACAATCCACTCCTCAAGATGAATATTATACCCACAAAGTTATTGTTTCATAAAACATTTCTTTAACAGTACAAAGTTGTAATGGCGTTTCAAGTGTGTTTTTGTGTGGGAAGTACAAACCTTTAGGGATGCTTTTTTGATAATGAAGACCTGCTTATCTGATAACTTACAACCTTTCCCGACACTCAGAATCCCCAGGGAGCTGCAGAGCTCCCAGCAGAATCCCCAGCATCGTGTTCACGTGCAGAATTAGGCACTGTCAGCCCCTGCCTGACACCTTCAGCCTCAGCAGCCTCCCGAGCAATCTGCCTTTCCTCCTCATCCCGCATCTCTGCTGAACTCACCTAGCTGCCTTTCAAAGCAAGGGAGAAATTAGGAATTATTTCTGATAGACCTGAAGCTTTTAATCCTTTCAGTCTCCAAAATATCCGCTGGAAGGCCATCTAGATAACAGCTCCAAAATACAGCCCGGTAATATGTAATCAAATAATCATGTAGCCTGGTTTTCAGGTGGGTTGTTGTTGTTGTTGTTTGTTTTGTTTTCCTTTTATTTTTGGATATTACTGCTGCTCTGATCACTCCCAGTCTTACACTGTGTGATTACACGTTCACACACGAAGGGAAAATCCCTGGCATCTCTGCCGGAGCTGCAAATCCCAGGCGCCCTTCAGCTCGAGAAACAAACTAATACAAGATAAAAGGGAATTATGGGTCTAATAAAAAGGATTATTTTTCCACAGGACAGTCCGTGTGCCTTCAGCCCCGTTACACAGAGCATCTCTGAGCCTCGCTAAGTGTCAAATGAAATGGGCTAATGAAATGGATTAGGATCTTAATAGCACATTTGATTAGTGAAGCTCTCACCTCCGGGCACTCTCTCATGTGTGTTAATGGGCGCTGCGGGGGACAGCTGCCTAAATGAGCCTATTAATGAGCAAGAGCTCAGCCAGAGCCCCTGGCAGCCCACGGGGAAAGCCCTGTGTCTGTCCAGCGCGGGAAGGTGCACTTGTGTCTAAAAGGAAAGAAAGAAAGAAAAAAAAAAAAAAAAAGAGAAATGCTAATATTTTTTTGCCTGATGGTAGAAAAAAAAAAAAAAAAGGCCGGTCTGTTCTTAACTTATCACAGTAGGAGGCCCTGACATTTGGTGATGGATGGGGATCTATGAGTGGGGCTGCTGTGCTAAATGCAGCCGTGGAGTCCTGCGAGAATGTTCTGGGATAATTCCCGAGTGCTGTCGGCTCGGTGGCACCGGGGGCTCGGGCAGAGCGACAAACAGCTCAGCCTTAGCCCGATATAATTAACGTAATTAACGCTTCCCGGAGCGGCACGGCTGCAATCAGTGTCTGCCACTCATTAAGGTGATGATGCTCCGGAGGGCTCGAAGGAGGATGCGGGGAGGGATGCGGGGAGGGATGAGGGGAGGGATGCAGGCAGGGATGCAGGCAGGGATGCAGGCAGGGATGCAGGGAGGGATGCAGGCAGGGATGCAGGGAGGGATGCAGGCAGGGATGCAGGGAGGGATGCAGGCAGGGATGCAGGGAGGGATGCAGGCAGGGATGCAGGGAGGGATGCAGGGATGGCTGCTGCGGGCTGGGCACCGAGGTTTCCATGCACCACAGCTGTGCCAGCGCCTCCCTCCTGCCTCTGGGGCGCCCAAATAACTCCTGAACAAATTTTCATAATGTTTCTTATTTCGGTGTCAGGCAGTAAATAACACAGAGCCATAAAGAGTTAGGATGCTGTAGGGAGGCAGGGGTTATAAATTGCTGATGCAATAAACTATCTCATATCCTTAAAGAAGGGATTTAAAACATTTAAGTGAATAAATGTTCAGAGCTGGCCTGGTTGGGTTTTGGTTTTTTCCCATCAGATTGGCTGCAGGATCCAGCAGATTCAGAGAAAAGCAGCCCACAAGCTGTGAGCCCTGCACCCACAGCTGTCTGCTGAGAGCAGGAGCTTCACTGCCCTGTCCTGTGAGATGTCTCTGACTGGGGCTTTTTTATGCCGTTTGTTATTTCAAAATGAAATAATTGAAAGGCCAACCCCCTGAGTGCTGGCAAAGCACCTTCTTCCTGGAGTTTTGCCTTGTTTTGAAGTCTGATGAATGCTCTGCAATTATGGACTGCTGGGATAACCAGCATCCCAGACACTGCCTGCCTTCACTGTTGGTTGTTCAGGCCTCTCTCCAGTACCTGAAACTTCCAGCATCTTTCCAGTACTTATGAAAAACAGGGAGAGGGATATTTGATGAGGGAATGGCTTCAAACTGAAAGAGAGCAGGTTTAGATTAGATGTTCGGAAGGAATTGTTCACTATGAGGGTGAAGAGGCCCTGGCACAGATGTCCAGAGAAGCTGTGGATGCTCCATCCCTTGCAGTGTTCCAGGCCAGGCTGGAAGGGGCTTTCAGCAACCTGGTTTAGCATAAGGTGTCTCTGCCACCATTCTCTGATTCTGGATGGTTCTCACACCATCCTTGAGCATTAGGAGGGGGCAGGCAAGTGATGCATCAGCTTTCAGTCTTGCTGTTGAAATGGAGCTGTTTCTTCTTCCTCTTTGGGGTTAGCTGTTGTGGATGCAAGCCCTGGAGTGCGCTGTGGGGTTGTTGTTCCCTTTCTGAGCTGCACAGCCACAGCTGCCCTGCCTGGAGGGGTTCTGGGCATGGCAGTGGAAGCTGGGAAGGGTTCTGGAGTAGGAGCATGAGAAGCAGCTCCCGTGAAGGATGGGGACAAGGAGGCACTTGCCATGTGTGCAGCTTCCAATGGTGTAGCCAGCGACAGAAATGGCCACAGGGGCAGCTTGAAGCAGTGAGCTGGAATGCTGCACTTTCTGGGAGAGCAGGATCCTCATCCTGTGAGCCTTTGACTCAAATGAGCCGCAGAGAAGGACAAAGGCATGTAAGGAGGAAAACAAGAGAGTGAAAAGACCAGGCAGACTGTCAGCAGCAGCAAGTACCACAGACTCCTGTGAGCTGGAAAAACAGGAGTACCCCTGAACTGGAGTCTTGGCACTACCCAGGCAGCTTAGATAGGTACAAAACAGGTCCCAAGAAGCACAGAAAATTAGGACTTAACAGCCCCTCTGTGCCACACATCCAAGCCTGGACAAGAGTCCCTAGCTGTGCTCCCACAGCCCTGCCCAGCATCCCTGCAGGTGAGAGAGGCTTTTTGGCATGTGCCTGGGTGTTAAATACAGATCTCTGGGGCCTGGAAATTGTTTCAGTAATTTGGCTCACCGTTCATAAAGCAATTAGTCATTGGAATAACGTTAGCAGTGCCTGATGTCAGCAGGTTTCCATGGCAATGGGCAGATTCCCGAGCAGACAGGAGTGAGTGAGTGTGTGCAGGGGGCTGGGTGTGCAGGGAACAGCCAGCCCCAGCCACAGCCCAGATCCTCCCCAGCCATCCCAAAGCAGAGGGCTTCCAGTCCCTTTGGTCCTTTGTCCCTTGCTGGCTGCTGAGTGGGAAAATGATGGCAGGAGGGAGCATCTCCCCGGGGTAAACACCTGAAGGAGGGACACCCTGTGCTCTGCAGCAGCAGCCCCAGAGCAGAGGGAAGTGACAGGCTGTTTATTCATGACAAATGTCACTAGAAATTATGTGAAATGCAAGGTCAGGTGAGTGATGGCCTAACTTGTATCATATTTTAGCACGCCAGCTCTGTAAGAACATTTATTCTGCTCTTTTCCCTAAGTGCTGTAGCACCAAAGCGACATCTTACTGTCTGGAGCTTGCCAGGCTCCAGGTATCCCCTGGGAACCTGCTGGGACGGGAGCAGAGCCAGGCTGAGCTCAGGACACAGAACAGCCTCCAAAGCCCTGGTTAGGAGCTGGGATTGAGTGTGGCTGCACCCCTGCTCAACAGAGAAGGTCTGCCTGGTCTCTCTCCTCCCTAAATGAACCCCTGGTGAGGCTGGGTGAGGATCTCTGCCCAGCCTGGCGGGCTCCTGGCACTCCCCTCCAGCCTGCACCAGGAGTTTGGGAAACCTGGGAGAGCCTTTTTGCACCCATTCTTCCCAGCAGGGTATGACAGGCAGGGCAGACACTTTTTCACCTCCTGAGCACTCAGATCTAATCTGTGTTGGGGCAAACTTGGTGAGCTGCTGGAAGTACATGGGCTGCGAGAGAGCGGAACGCAATTGCTGCTTTTGGAGCAATTAGAGCAGAGCAAACACGTTTTTCTAAAGGAACCCAAGAGTGGTGAGTGATGCAGGGCTGCTCTTTGTTAGGGCAGGGCTGAGCTGCAATTTCCCCGTGTGTTGGGGGCAGAGTAGAGGGCTCCCTCCTTCGGGCTGGGAATTTTCAGTCTGCATTGGAATGAGCTCCCTTTCCCGGCGGGTTTAGAAATGGGCAGGGACAAGAGGGACCTCTCAGCACCTTCCAGGCTCTCAGTGGCGCCTGTCCCAGCTTGGGTAACAACAGCCATACCTCAGCAGCACTTGTGCTCCCGGGTTTTGGACCATCCTGCCCTCCTGAGACAACTTCCAGCCTGGAAACTGCTGCCAGGGAGGGATGCAGGGGGATGCCTGTGGCTGCCGGGGTGCAGCAGGGGGTACTGAGGTGTGAAAAATGCATATTTATGATTGGCTTTTTGCAAATGTTACAATGAATATTGTATGTGTAATGTTAGAAAGTTATTCTGTATTAATTCTCTTATGTATTGTGTTAAGTGTAGTTTTAGGCTACAACATAATGTTAAAATAGAGACTATGTATATGGGGAAGTTTTCTTTTTAGGAATGAGATACTCGCTTCAAGGAACACCTAAATCTTCCAAAGGAGAGGAATTTATGGCTTCTTATCAGAAGAAGCTAGTTTCTTCAGGCCTTGCTCAGACTCGAAGATGCCAGGGGATTAAAGGAAACAGTTGACATACAACAGACAGAGTTTCTTGTTTAGAATAGAATGTATGCATAACCATGAAGGATGTATGAATATGCAACAAGTGTATTGTTTTAAGGGTGATTCCTTTGTTCACAAGTCATGCTTTTTGTGAGTTAGTGTCCGAGAGCATCCAGACATCCGTAATTCTTTGCCTTTTATTGTCTTGTAATTGTCCTAACTCTAGACTTTATTCCTCTAATTGTATTGTTAACTATTTTATTATTATTAAACTCTTAAAATTTTAAAAACCAAGTGATTGGCGTTTTTCACAGAGGGACATCACAATGTGTTTTCCCAGCCAGCTCTTGGGAGAAAGGTTATAAGGAGAACTGGAATTTAATCCCATTGATCCTGCCTCGGGATCAAGGCTGGGAGATGACAGTGTGATGTATTCAATCTGCAGATCGGGAGATAGCAGCGAGAACAAAGGAGCAGGAAAGTGCTCCCGTTTCCCCATAAATGCCTTTTTTTATGGCAAGGATTCCATGCAGGAGTCAGAGAGGAATTGAGCTGTTGCCACAACAGAACCTGATAGCCTGAGGTGTTTCTATACCTGTGGAGAAGAAGATGATAATAATAATAATAATAAATAGTAATAAGAATAGCAAAAGCAACATGAGGAAATAGGTACTTAATGCTCTGAATGGACTGTGAGGCTGATGCTATAATTTGTGTGGGAGTTGAAGGGATGGCTGGTTCCTGGGAAGGTCACAGCCACGTCCTGCTGCCTCCAAAGCCCTCACTGCCTTGCTGTCCCCCCATCCCCGACGTGTGGCTGCTGTGGTGCCAGGCACATGGTGTCAGCTGTGCCCCTAAATCCACGCTGGGACACAGACCTGTGGTGATGCCTGGCCCTGGGCAGGTGGAGCTGCCTTGGCCAGCAGCTTGGTGGGCTCCCTTGGTGCGGCTGAGCCACGTGGCAGTGGGAGCCCTTCCCAGGCACATGCCCAGTTATTGACCCAGGGTGTTTGTGTCTGCAGTTTGTGTCAGGGCTGGCTGAAGAGCTCCCTGGGAGCACTGATGTAAAGGAAAATGGGAAGCAAAGTGGTTTGGTTTTGGGGCTCTTTCTACACTGGCCCTGGGCTCTGGGTCCCCTGAGGAGGACAGCAGCTTTGGCTGACAGAATTGGTGCCTCTGTGGTGCCTCTGTGGCACAGCACAGCTTGGCTCAGCAGTTTGGTGCTGATCTGGGTGGGGACAGCAGTCCCTGTCCCACAGCCAGGTCCATGCCAGCTGTGCACACAGGGACAGGTCCAGGTCTGAGCTGAGGGCAGCCCATGGATGTGCTGGCAGCCACACAGACCATGGGGCAGAGAAGGCAGGGTGCCAGGCACCAGGAGAGGCTGGAGATCTCCGGGACAGCAGCATCTTGTATATTTATCCAGCCTCTCCTGTTCTCATCCCAGAGAACCTACACCCAAATCTCTGGCTTAAAAGTCACAGGCTGTGAGATTAATTGGGCTGTCAATTCTATTTTCCAGCAAATGAACTACCCAGAGAGTCTTTCCGAGGTCCTATTTCCAGTGGGCAGAAATGTCATTTCAGCATTTGGAGAGAAGTGTAGGTGGGAGCTGTGTGAGACGGAATTTATATCCTATTCTTTCTGTTTTAAAGCTGGAGCTAGTTGGGGCAAGCCTTACTGGCCAAGGAGAGGATGTGTTTGATTGATTTGAGCTGCTTCAAAGCTGTGTGGTGAGCCAAGCCCTAACTGATGCACAGGTTCTGCTGTGGGGTGAGAGGAGGGGTGATGAGACCTCCCATCTGGAAGGTGAAATGGGCTCTTTGGTGTCTAATATTCTTTAGATTTGGGTCAAAACTTATCTTGCTGGTGGGGTCTCCATATACCAATGCCAGTGCCTGCTTTCACCAGCCTGCAGTTGCTGCTTCTGCCCAGCCAGGACCTCAGCATCATCTGGGGACACAGGGGGGAGTCTGTGCTCACAGCAGAGTTCTGATCCCCTCTCTTCCCACCACTGCCACAGCATCTGCCTGCCTTCCTCACACCTGAGCCCAGCGACCAGCATGGCTCATCACACCCAGCCTGTTAATAACCAGCTAGAAATTAAGTTGTATTAGCTTAAATGAAGATGCATTTTCAACAGCCCCCTAACCTTTCTATCTTGAGTCTTTGCTTATGACTTAAAAATCCACTTTTGGTATAAGACTGTCAGATTTAATCCTTTTTAAATATCCTTTTCCCTGGTGAGGCAGCCAGATTTCCCAGGCAGCCCTGAAACTTGCAGATAAGATTTCACTGCAGTAAGACATCCAGATGCAATGAAATCTCTATTAAAAGCAGCCTTTTGGGGGGTACTTTGTCCATGTTTCTCTAAAAGTTTTAGTGTCTGTTTTCTCACAGGACAGCTCATTTAGGTGTGGCTGGACAAAAATCGAAGCTCTTTGTGCCTCACAAAGGAGAGTCCTGAACCCTGGAAGCTGGTGTGTCTCTGACAGCCACTCTTGGTGGGCAAGCTTCATTCCTGCTACACATCTCCAAAGGGCTCTGTGGGGATCTCCTGGGTTTTCCCTTGTGGATGAAGACCTCAAGGAGCCAGAGGAAAGGACTTGCAGAGCAGTTATAGCACGAGGCTCCACCAGTGAACGAGCCCATGCTGGTCAGCACCAAGTCCTCCTCCAGCCCCCCAGGTGAGTCACACTGCTCCTCCTTTTTTAGCACCTTGCAGCACATCACTGTAACGTGAAGGCCTGGAGCACATGTTCCTCCTGAGCTGTGGGATCAACGGGAGCATCCATGGGCATGTGGACCACAGGGAGGGTGAGGGGACAGCAAGGAGAGGTGGGGTCTCAGCACAGCAGGCGAGCAGGACGGTCAGGCTGGGCTGGGCTGCAGTGGTGAGGGAGGGCAGAGACCTCTGCCCTCTTCCCGTGTGCCCATGGCCAGGGCTGGGCAGCAGGGTGGGGGCTCTTTGTCCCAGGGGGTCAGGCCACCCTCCGTGCAAACAGCAAACAGGTCCTTGGCACTGCGGCCTGGGAGAGGATGTTCTCCAAGGATACAGAGGTCTGCTTGTGTGTCTCTGTGTGGGTGAGTTATTTATTTCTTTAAAAATTAATTTTCTGGCCGAGTGTGGAGCTACCTGCTTCTGGGTCACTAAAAATAGCTGTAAACACGACGCTGAGGAAGCGGCAAGCAGGAGTGTGGCTGTGTGCCTTTATTTCAGGGATGGCAGCGCCATTTAGAGATGCACACCACAGTTAGATTAAAGGCTTAATGGCTGCAATTAAACTTCCTGCAGGAATGATTTCCTTGCTGAGCTTTTCTCGGCAGCAAGCCCTGCGGTGCCAGTGTTTCTCCAGAAGAGAGGAGGGAAAGAGGGGAAGCCCAGCAGGAGCCCAGACAAAGGTGCAGCCTCTCACCCCTTGGCCAGCTCTCAGGGTTAAATAAAAGCCCTGCTGCAGCTATCTCAGCAGCATTTCTGGTGCACCAGATACTCTGCAGAAGTAAGGAGGTATGAAGAAAACCAGTGGGCAGGTGTCTGGGCGCCATCGGGCAGCCTGGGAAAAGTCCACCCACTTGCAGCAGCTGAGGAAACCCTCTCCATTAAAATGAGCAGGAGGTTCAGCTCAGACACAGTGGGAGGGGGCCTGGTAGCCACACAGCTGAGGACCTGGGGATACAGGACATGTTTTGGTGGCTCCAACTATCTCTGCAGCATGAGGACAAGCCAGCAGGGCACAGAAGCCAGGCAGCTGCTTACTCCCTCTCAAATCAAAGCCAACTCTCTCTATTCAGTGGGAAGACAAAAGGAAAAAGCCAATCAGGCAAGGGCAAACCCTTCCTTGGCCCCGGTGCCAGTCTCTGTGGTACCATCACTGGGAATGTGTTTGCTCAGCCAGGTGGGCACTGACACATCCTGGGGGAGCAGGAAAGCCTTTGAGTCTGGTTAACAAGCTGATTTGTGGTAGAGAAACACAGCAAAGAAAGCAAAAGCCATATTTCTGCTCACCTTTACAAACTGGGCTGCTGACAGTGAACTCTGTTGTAAAGCACTTTGCTGCCTGAGGATGAAAATTGCTAGATGAAAGCTTTGTATATAATTTTTGCTTGAAGTACAACTGTTATCATTTAAAGTGATCTTTAGTGCCTGATTTTGACATCTTCTTTTCAACCTTGCAGACTTGTTTTCATTGGCCTGAAGAGCAAATCTGCCCATTTCCGAGCTGAAACAGCTTTCTGGTAGAAATTGCAGCCAGGTCAGAATTAAGGCTAATATGATGTTGTTTGGAGCCGCTGTGCGGAAATGGTTCAGATGGAAACAAACGTAACGAGGGCCCCAGAGAACAGCCAGAAAGTTAGAGCACTGAACTGCTATCTTTTTTCATTACAGCAGCACTGCTTCCTTTGAGCTGCCCATTTATTTCTAAGTTTTTAAAACAGAGGAAGCAAGAATAAGTCAAGAAAGGAGGATCAATAAAAGCAAAGGAATGCAAGGCAGCGGGACCAGGCTCATATGGAGGTTAATGTCTCAGTAATTACACCTTCACTGCTGTGGCAAATTCAGAGTTCAGGAAAACAAAGACCCCTCATTAACTCATTGCTGTTCTCCTTGGGATCAACACTGGAAAGATTTGCACCAAAAGTAAAACACGATGAAGTTGTTCTGGTCCAACAGGAGAGCAGGCTGGCTGAGAGCTGAGGAGGGGATGTCCTCAGCCATGCCAGCAGTTCTCCAAGTGCATGTGGGCTAGGCAGCAGATCTGCTTTCTGGTGGTTATGGGAACCTGGAAATCCGGGCAGAGGGGTCTGTGGTGCTTTCTGCCAGGCAGAAAGGGCAGTGGGATGCTGAGCAGTCACTTACCACAACGGTGGTGTCCCTCAAATGAGCAAAACTGCTGGGAGAAGAGTGGGTGAGCAGTGGTGCTCCCAAAACAGCCATCCCCAGGGATGTGGCTCCTCACCTGCACCAGCTGGGCTTTCCCCATGGAGATGTTGCCTACTGCAGCCAGGAGCTGAAAGCTGCTTTCGTGTGGACTTGAAGCAGAAGTAGAGCCCTTTTCCAGGGGGTCATATCGGAACCATAGCTGGCACCCAAGAGCCTGGTGGGATCTTCTCAGCTCCCAGCTGCTCTTGGCCCTCTCTCACACAGTTCACAGGCACTGGTGGGCACAGAGTGCCCCTCATCACCACCTGGGGCCATCAGCCCTGTACAGGACCTGTGGGGAGCAGGGGGCAGGAGGAGGGTGGCATCACCACAACCTGGGCATAGTACTCACTGCCATCCACCGTGGATGGGGTCCCAGGCCCTCAGCTTCCATCCCTTTCCATGTGCTCCAGGCAGCTGAAAGCAGCTCCAGCCTGGTCCAGCAGCTAAGCCTGGGGCTGGAGTAACCTGGACAGTGCTGCAGGCTCCGGACAGGCAGCTATGTAGGTCAGCCAATTTTAAATATGCCTCTTTGGTGAAAATAGAAGAGAGAGCATCCATCACCTTCAGCTGGTATAAATGCATGCCCTCCTTCTTTCAATCACACCTGCCTGCCTGTTCCACACTGCCAGCCTTTTCTGCCCACAGGAGGATCCTCTGTCTCTTTCCTCGCTCTCTTTAAATTTGCCTCCTTGGAACAGTGGCATCTACACTAACAGTGAAAATTTTATTATTACTTTGCTTCTCATCCCAATTTCTTGTGCTTCTCATGCCATCTTCTTCAGACACCTTTCCCTTTCTTGCTTCCCAGCTATTATTTTCTGATTTCTAACAGCTGTCGGGCTAACTTCTGGCTAAATTGTTCCCTTCACTGTTTCTACAACACTTCTTAAAGAGCTCTTTCACTTTCCATTCACAGCTGTTTAGTTATTGTTTTTTCCCACCCAGTCAGTTTTGGTGGTAATTTCCCCTGATTTATTTCAGCATTTTTGAAGCAGTGAGAGTCTCTGTCGCTAGCTGGGGCTGCCCTCTGTTCCTACTGACTATAATCGGATCACAGGCACTACTCCCCAAGCAATTACCTCTTCTTTAGCAATTAAATCAATGCAGCCATAGAACATCCTCTTGCATCTGGCTAAATGGTTTCTGTATCAGGATATTTCTATCTGAACCCTCTGGAAATTCTCCTGACACTCACCTGGTCACACACATGCCCAGAGGAGGTTTCCCCACAGCATCACATCCTGGACCCTGTGGGTGGGAGGCTGCCTGCTGGCACCAATTTCTGCTTTAATGCAGGAGATATTTCCCCTTTTTTTCTTTTTACTTGCCAAAAATTTAAATGAATTGTAAATTGCCAGCTGAAGCCACCTGCACGAATGATCAAAAGGTTTTTATTTTTTTATATTATTTTTATTTAACACTCTCCTCCCAGGGTGCAGCCCTTGAATTTTCCAGGCACATCTATTACTGACTGCATTGTCTTCATGACATTAGCCTGCAACTCAGCAGGAGCAGGAAATATTTCCCAGGTGCTGTATAATTCTCCTACAACCATAAAACAAGTGGCTGGGCCCGTTTGCCCGTTTATCCTGGATCAGATGCAATCCCCCACACAGGCTCCTGCGCCCGCATTGCTCAGAAGGCCTGTTAAGTGTTTTTGCTTCAAGACTGTAAGAAGAATGATTTATAGCCCAGGGATTTAGTGACATCTTTTTCTTGTTAAATCATCTCTTTCTCACCTAAGGTGTAGGACTTGGTGTCTTTCTGAGAAAAAAAAAATGCTTTTTTTCTCTTGCTTTTTCCAGTGTCATCTTAGAAGGCTTTTTTTTTTTTTTTTTTTTTTTTTTTTTTTTTTTTTTTTTTTCCTTCTGTTGCATCTTCAGCACAGATTTTGGCTGTGCAGGTCCAGGGAGACTTACTCCTCAGAGCTGAAGGGGCAAGAAAGCCTGAGCCCTTCAGATGATTTTTGCTGCCAACATCCTTGAAGGCTAGGAGCTGGCGGGGGAGGACCTGAATTACCTTGTTTTTCACAGCATCTCCTCTCCTTTGGTGGTGTCTGTGGCAGGCAGGAGGGAGCAGTGCTGGCCAGAGGCAGCAGCTCCCGTGGGAGCAGCTCAGCACCGGGGCACAGCTGCAGGGGTCACCTGCAGCCCACCTGTGCAGCTCAGAGGTGAGGTGACACCTCGCTGTCCTGCCTGTGCCTCAGAGAAACCCCCAGGCAGAAGGAGCCCCAGCCCCAGCCCGGCTCCTGGTGTGCCATGAGCTGAACCTGCCTCCATCCTCTGCAGCTCTTCCCTGCTCCTTGCGTGCAAAAAAAGCCTTTGGAGAAAGAAACCAAGCTGACCCACAAAGAAATAAAGCCTGCTTTGCCTTTCTGTCCCAGTTCCAAGCAACCTTTAGTGCCAAGAACAACAATGAATCTGTATTTTGTTCCCTGGGAAAGGCTTTCTACCTGACCATGGTACCAGTCCCAGACTAAATGGTTTCAGCCCCTGACCCATTGCTGTGATTGTCCTTGCCCTGCTGCCTGTTTGTGCCCTGTGGAGGCATTGGGGGAGCAGCTGTGAAGCCTGTGGGGGTGGTGGGGGTTACAGCCACTTCTCTCCATGGCCGAGGTATTTTACACATGGCTCGGTCTGTATTTGCTGGGTTCTGTGCTATATATTTTCATTACTGGGAAGAGCTGAGGGCTAAGGGATGCTTAAACTGTAATAAATACATAAATTGTTCCTGAAGACTCCCAAACACCCTGATGGAGGCCCGGGGAAGACACAATTACCTTCCAGTGTAATTGAAGCCCTCGGAGAGGTCACTTTATTTTCATAGCCCTGAATTTTTTATGACGAATGGTTCCTAATATGCAGCTGACAAAGATGCTCATATGGTACTGCTAAGTGAGAATATAGAAAAGGGAGGGAATGTGATTATGGGGCTACAGAGAGTGACACGCTGTCTTTCACAGCACCGCTGCCACTGCTCCCTGTGCCACAGGCACAGCAGGGCTGGACTGGGACAGGGGCAGGCTGGATATGGGGCCAGCAGCAGGATTGCACCTTAAATATTTGGGACCTTTAGTCTTCCCTCTTGGACCCTTAGAAGGACCTGGATATGGGCTGGTTCCCCCCAGAGCCACCACTGGGTGTCCTGGGTGGCTGTGGGGTGCCTCCCGGGCAGTCCCTTGAAACAGAATCATGGAAGAGTTTGGGTTGGAAAGGGCCTGAAAGATCATCCTGTTCCAACCCCCCTTCCATGGCACGGACACCTTCCACTATCTCAGGCTGCTACAGCCCCATCCAACCTGGCCTTGATCACTTCCAGGGATGGGACACCCACAATTTCTCAGGGCAACCTTTTCCAGTGCCTCACCATCCCCACAGTCAAGAATTTTTTCCCTCTGTTTCACCTAAATTTTTCCTGGTTCAGTTTGAACCCTTTACTCCTCGTCCTATGACTACAGACTCTGATAGAGAGTCCCTCTCTGGCTTCCTTGGAGGTCCCCTTCAGATAGTGCAGCTCTGGCAGGAGGTCAGGGAGCCCCTTTGATGCCCATGCCCTGCAGGAGGTGATGCTCTGGGAGAGGAAACCTCATCCCTTGCGAATGCAGAAGCTGCTTTAGCTGTGGAGCTTTGTCTGCTGCATTAACTCCTTGGGACTACAACTTATTTAGCTTTGAAATGGAGCTGGGAGTTTGGATGGAAGGGACTGACAGCTCAATTTTTCAGGAATTTATTGTCCCCAGTGTTAATTATATGACCCACTTTGGTTGCAGGCTTTTATCTTTGCCTGCCACTCGTTTTACTGTAAATCTCTGTCCAGGCATTTTGGCTCATGGGGTACCCTATAATTTGGTTCTGTGTATTCATTAGC